AAGTGACAGGAGGATGGAGAAGATTACATAATGAGGAACTTCCTAATTTTTATTATTTTCGTTTGTATATTTTGTGGTTAAGTCAAGGAATTTGAAATGGGAGGGACAGATAATGCGTAGATATGATATTTTTCGGGAAATCTTGACGGAAGCAATCAGTTTGGGTGTCACTGGAGTAAATTAGATGATAGTATTAGAATGGATATTGGAGAAACTGTGTGATGGTGTGAAATGTATTTATGTCGTTTTCATTGGGCTAGATAATCATTATTTTATCACACGCTGGCCTTGTAATCCTGGGGTCCCGGGTTCGATTCCCGGCGGTGCCCGAATTTATAACTTGTGTTGGGCAAGGCCGTGGTCTAGGCAACACGGAGTTTTCCTCCGGGGGCTTCCCAACAATTACTCCATTCACACACAGAAGAAGGCAATGGCAAACCACTTCTGGATCATCTGCCAAGAACGTATATGAACAGGTCCCAGTCCGAGAAAAGGATGGAAGGATCCTGTTCATATGGACCTGTCGTCAGACAGAACACTAAATAAATAAAATAAGATAAGGTTAGAACATCTTTGGTAGGGACTTCTTATAGTTTTAAGTTTATGGGACAACTGTGTGAGATTTGAGGTTCTTACGCATTTGAACGTCGGTAAACCGCCTGCTAGATTACACAGCTACAATGCAAAAGACCAGATGTCAATGTAACTTATTTTAATGTTCTAGTCTCGGCTTTTCTCTGCAGAATACTGTGTTGAAGTTTGTCTTTTAAGTGTTTAAAACAGTGTTTAGTGTTGTACCACCTGCTTAAACTTGCAGTGACCACGTGTTTATGGAGTTTGTGTGATTATCAGAAGAAACATAGTTTATTTCCGTAAACAGTGTTTACCAATTTATCTTTTGCAGTGGAGGAACGTGGTGTTTTCTTTGAAGCGGGAACTGAATATTTTTGCTGTATGAGGTTAAAAGAGTTAACAGGATTTCTGTAGGGCCTGTTGACCTGCGTGGATTCAGCTTTGCCGATGCCTACCCTTACTGCGCGTGTGATGTATTAGTGGGCTTGTGTACGCCTGTACGGGGCACCGAGCTGATTCTCATGTATTATACAAATCCTGCAGCAAATTCAACAGCGTCGCTGATACCAGATACACCCCCTCTCTCTCTCTCTCGCTCACACACACACGTTCAAGCCTGTTTTGCTTTCGGAGCTTGTTTCTTTTATTATTTCAAATTTACATCCAGTTTTTCATGCCATTGGGTGTTGAATTTCAACGTGCACGTGAAGTTTAGTTTGACGGACACTGGCGGTATACAGCAGGCCGGCCACACAGGGTTGTACAGATTGGTTTTCCATCGTCCCTGTTCGTTAAGCCGAAAGCCATCGTAAGGAGCCCTTAGACGTGTTTCGTTGTCCCACGCTAGATATCAGTTTAAAATTAATTTTGCAAATTACCAAAATATATTTAATTTCAGTTGCGTGTTAGTGTCTGTGTGTCTTTCTCCCGACTATGTTCGTTCACGTACGCGCTCCCCGTAGTCAATGTTACGTAGTATTTTGGTCGGAAGGGAATTATTCTTATAAAGATAAACACAAATTTTAATCCGTCTTGAGAATGTAATAGTTGTTAGCCGCCTTTTACGGAATCACAAGGGTCATTACCTTATTCACAAGAGCCTGCCACTGGTACCTATCCTGAGCCAGATGAATCCAACGCTAACAACCAATTATGATTAATTCTAGAGCTTGTTTAAACATAGTTAATGAACTAAGTACATAACCGATAATTTAATTCATACAAAAATCTACAGAACTAACTAGAAAACCAATGATTTTCGTAAACAAATTTTACTTTATTTTATTTAGTGTTCTGTCTGACGACAGGTCCATATGAACAGGATCCTTCCATCCTTTTCTCGGACTGGGACCTGTTCATATACGTTCTTGGCAGATGATCCAGAAGCGGTTTGCCATTGCCTTCTTCTGTGTGTGAATGGAGTAATTGTTGGGATGCCACGGAGGAAAACTCCGTGTTGCCTAGACCACGGCCTTGCCCAACACAAGTTATAAATTCGGGCACCGCCGGGAATCGAACCCGAGACCCCAGGATTACAAGGCCAGCGTTCTAACGCAGAAAGACGGCCACATTTAGTCTCGTTATTGTTTGTTAGTTAATTTAAGGCACTTTGTACGAAGAACGTAAAAGGTCCTATGAAGTGTGCTGATGTGCTGTTTAAACAATCGTTTGGTATCACCAATTTCGCAGAACTGAAGTTGAAACAAGAGGTAGACAAATGACGCCATTATTACGGCAACCTTCAAAACGTAGATTTCTCTCTGAGCCTTCTCAACATTCCCACACTATATTTCTCTTCATTTTTCCTTCCCCCTTGCTATTTTATATATCTAGTGCTTAGTGTCTGTGTGTCTTGGTCTCTTATACGGTTCCTTTGGAAAGGGAAAGTTACCTCTTTTATGTTAACAGAAACCAAATGGCTGGCCATTTATCGTCACCCTTCGCGACCACGTGAGCGGAACCTCCCTCACACTTTAGTCTTAAAAGATAGCGCTTTTTAAAGACCTATGCTGCTTCTAGGGGGAAATGTACCTCCTGAGGATGTAGGAAGTTCACAGGAATTTCTGATGGTAAATTCTAGAAGAAATAAATATCGAAATTTTAGAGAACGAGATAAATTGTAGCACTGAAATATTTAAACAGTTTGTTGTGTTTATAGTTTAAATGCGTCATGTTTGTGTTTTAATATTCAAATATAATAAATGAAAAACTTGCATTAAAAATATAGAGTAGTTTTAAAGATAAAAAAACCTGAAGATGATGCTATGCATTGAAACATGTAGTAGTATAAAGCGCAATATTGTAACATCGTAATAACGATGAATAGCGCAAAATATCAATATTAATTTTAAATTTTAACATCAACAATTTAAAGTTTGTGTATAGACTTGAATTATATTATATATTTGAAAGTTTGTTGTGTATTGTATTTCAGCAGATTCAAAATTAGTCCGTTTACGTGAACAGTAAAGTGATATATACTAGACGCAAAATATCTGCGAGCCCAGGCTACATCACAGTAAGAAGGGAAGGGAAGATTTAAAGAGCAAAAGGGCGGGGTATCACAACGCGTTACGTGCTATCTCTTCCCCTCCTTCAACTTTTCCCGGAAAAACGTTGAGACAACAGTGATGTAGGCCTCTTATAATCGCGATTAAGATGTCTGAGTGGAATTCTTTCACTTAAATGCTGTTGGCCGTTAGCATTAAGAATTAAATTAATATCTGCAAATCGATGTTCTGGTTAGAATTGTGAAATAGGTTTTATAGTATTTAATAATTTATATTCAAGTGATGTGCTAAGGATATTTTTTTTAAGTTTAACCTTTTAAAATACTGAGGTGCGTATTATAGCTGAGGGCGCATTAAATTTAGGTTAATATTGTACTAGAAAACAGAAGTAAAGTTGACTCCGTTCGTTAATCATCGCGTTGTGAAGAAGTATGTGGGATAACAAGTATATTTCCGCGCATTTTAACCTTATCAGTATGTGAAGGTGAAAGGTTAACTTCACTTTCCACCCATTTCACCCGTGGGAAAACAGAACCCTGTACCATTTGGGTAGGCGTGTCAGTGGGCCCCAAATTCGTTCATGGTTGGCTTTTACGTGATGATATTTTGTTGCTGTGTCAGATAAATGTCGTGGTGGATGACGTATGGACGCACTTATGATTGTTTTTCGTTTACAGTTTTCTACCTCCTGGCAAGAGACTGAACTGCTAACTAAATTACGAACTCCATGAAACTAAGGCCTTGAGACGCCCATAGTCGCTCAGCTAGTCAGGAAATTCCCTGCCCTTTATGGACCTCGGAAGTTCATTGTCATTTTCACAGTAGCCGACCAATGACCAGTTCCTGTCCTGAGCCAGATAAATCCAATCCTCGCCCTATTTCTCACCAAGGTTTCTGTTTGTAAAAGTGGAAGAATGATCAGATGTTGGAGAAAACTGTACAGCGAGAAACATCACGATTTGTTTTACCACCAAATGTTATTAGGATCATCAAATCAAGGAATATGACATGGGCAGAACATGTAGAGCGCACGGCGAAAATGAGAAATGCGCACAAAATTGTAGTTTTAAGTCCTGAAGATAGCAGACCACTCGCAATACTTCGGCGTGATATTTCATGTTCTGATTGCTGCGAATTCGAAGACCGCCTTATGGGATATTGTGCCGTTTTATCTGGTGGAAGTTTGTCGGCATTTAAAATTTCGAGTGACGAAGGACAGTGTTCAAAGAAAATATTCCCCGATGTTGGCTGTGATATTACAGCGGAGAATGGAGTTTATCGGCAAAAATGACGAAGGAAACGGGAAAATACCGAGGAAAGATGCACTACGATATCTGGATTATGGCACAAAAGTTAAGTTTGCGAAGTTAATTATGTTTGAATCTACGCTTGTAGATCGCAAGTAATTAATTAGCACAAAAAGACACCGACTGAATTAAGTTAGGAATTAGTCGGTTTTGTTTGAAACCAAATACGATTTGTGGGAACAGCATTAAACCTCGCTCATCAGGACTGTGCCTTGGACATCTGAATGTGCCCTCATCAGTTGCCGTCATCTGGAAAGATAATTGCCCACTCGTTGTCGTTAGCTAAGAGGGACGTCATTTCTCGGTACTAAGATTCACAGATGTTCTTCGTGAGGCTTTTTTGAGAAGCTAGCCAAGAAATATCCTGCCTTTTGTGAAACCCGCAGTTCGTTAGTGATGACTGCATTCTGGGATGTTGTGCTCTGTAGTGTGGTATAAATTGACTGACGTTTCGGAGGTGTTTACTGCCTCCATAATCAGGACGTTCAGGTGGATGCAGTAACCACCTCTGGATCGTTGTACCACACCATACTCGCAACATCACAGAACACATCCGACGCCATAATTTCTTTAAGTATTAGTGCAATGATGCTTATGGTAATCTTTTCAGATGGATGTGACTGAGCTGTGTCCGAGCCCTGCCCTTTTGGCACAGCAATTGACGCACGTCGAACTGGAGAGACTGTCCTTCATCGGCCCCGAGGAGTTCGTCCAGGCGTTTGCCAAGGAGAACCCCCACCTCGAGACCTCTTTCAAAGACATGAAAAAGACACGTAACCTCGAGTCCTACGTGCAGTGGTTCAACAGGCTTAGTTACTTTGTGGCCACAGAAGTCTGCAAGGTAAATGGAGGCATTCTGGTTTGTTACTTTGTGTAGTCATGATGGAGGCAGCAAAAGTCTTTCAAATGTTGGTAAACTTCCACCGCCTTCCTACTTGCTGCTGTGAGAACCTAAAGTCTTAAATAGAACTGTATTAACAATCAGAAAACTAAAACATATATCCGCTGGATTATATTAAAATTCAGAGAACTGTAATCGCAGAAATTTACTAAAATTTACATAACTGTACTGAAAGTCATAGAATTATACAAAAACTGAGAACTCGTATGAACCTAAGATTAATGCATAATTTTTGTCCTTAGTTACGGTCCTAAAAGTTTAGGGATTTTTAATGTCATTGCGTGTTTACCGACATTTCTCTGACTCCTCTTCAGCAGCACGTGAAGAAGAAAGTCCGTGTGAAAGTGATGGAATATTGGATAGAGACTGCTAGAGAGTGTTTCAACATCGGAAACTTCAACTCACTCATGGCCATCATCGCGGGCCTCAACATGTCTCCTATATCAAGACTGAAGAAAACCGTGAGTCCTTCATAAATACTTCCACAGGTGTCACCTGTTTTATTTTAATTTTCAAAGCAGTTTCGTCTTTCCACACTGTTACGTCATTCTATCACAAGAGGTGTTTATCAA